TCTCATGTGGCCTGACTCATTTAAGCTTTTGAGCTAATGTGGCGCTGCTGCTGCTGCCATAGCTGCTGCTGCTACAGCTGCTGCTGCTTTCCCCTCCTCCGCACCCTCTCCTTCATTTCTCCTCCTCAGATAGGAGGGAGCCCAGGCTGGCCTTGGACTCCATCTTCCTGCCTCAGTCTCCTGAGCATTGTATCATAGGCATGCAACTGTGGTGCGGCATACATAGAGAATGGCACGACCGTGAAGGAGGCTTGTGTTGAGTGCTTGCTATTTGGCGTTTTTACTGAAGTAAGTAGATCACAGCCAGGTGTTGGCAGGCTGCTCACTCGGCCTTCTGTGGACAGCCTGCCAAGACGCAGAAGGTAAGACAGCTGTGCAGTGTTCGCTGCAATGCCACGTGTTATCACAGGGATCTTTGATGTTGGTGTGTCCAACAGCACCACAAAGGGAACCCTCTGGACCTGTCCTCCTGTGCTGAACTCTAAGCACTGGGTTCCAGCATTCTGTTCCTTTTCAGAACGGGATGGGCATTTTCTGCTTGCTTGTTCCCCAGCGTTAGGCACCAGGTGGTTTTGGCCACTGACATCCAGTTGCCAGCAGGTGATGCTGAGCAGTGCTCAGAGTCCAGGTAGCAAAAGGGCGCATGCTGCTTGGGATGCCCCTAATTTCTGCTTTGTAAGGGGCACGATGAAGAAGCTAAAAACAGAACCTTTGGTCTAATCAGATCATCCTCGGGTGTAGATTAGATGCCAGGTGCGAGGGTTTGTTTACTCAAGACTGACATAGAACTGCTTTCTTGGATGCCTATAGTAGTGACCTAAGACTTAGGGGAGAAAAACATCTCCTTTACAGCCTGTTCCTGTGGACAGGGGAGAAAAACATCTCCTTTACAGCCTGTCCCTGTGGACAGGAGTAGCAGTCCTGAGGTCAGCAAACGTGAGGGTGCTGACCTCAGCTGGCAGATGCACGCTCAAGCCCGTGCTCTGGCGGCTGGTCTGGTGTAGCGTCCTTGTAGGAAGAACGGGGGAGTCTCCGCTGTGTTACTCTCCTTATCTAGAGCAGTCAGGACCAGTCTGAACTTGTCCCTGGGACCCTTCGTTGGAGTCTGAACTACTGCATGGGCATCTTGTTCTTTCTAGAGTGTTCTTTTGTGTGCACATTGATGACAGTATATAGATAAAAAGGGGTGGATCTTTTTTCCACCTTAAAAAAATCAAATTGTAAACAAAACAGTAAAATTATTTTCAATATCTTTAAATAGTATTTCTTCTTGACATTGCTTAGACTGATTTTCTAAGAATCATGTGAACAAAAATTCAGTCTAAGGGCGCCCTGCCAGTGTGATGTCCAACAAGGTTCCTGGTGTCAGCAGGGGCTGCTGGAGCAATTTGCTCTGCTGAGCTTTTCCCGGCATTGCTTCTTCAGAGGAGAGCTGGCTGTAAACATATTTTAGGTGCTGGGCTTTTGAGACTCTTGCTTTCCTCCTAAAATAGCACATCTCTTCCCCCACTCCTGTCCTTCCTTCTTCCCCTTCTCTCCCTCCCACACTTTCTTTTCCCCCTCCCTTCCTCTCCTCCTTTGGCCTCTGCTCTCTAGCCATGTCGGTCTCTTTGTGCCCCCTCCTTCTCTGCTTTCACCATCAATACACCTGCTACTGCTCTGGTCCAGTCTCAGGCTAAATTAGCAGTTGTTTGGAAGGCATCCCCCCTCTTATTTACTGCAAGGGAGAAGTGAAAAGCAATCATGCCTCCTACCTGATTTAGCTATGGTGAAGCCATTTATGGCTTTCCTCTCTCCTCTCCTTCCCCTTCCTCAGCAAGTATTAAACACTGAAATTCCTCTTTGTCCAAACACTCACTTGCCAATAACCCACTTGGGGGCTCTTGACTAAAATGCTCAAAAGACTAAGTGTGGCTGGAGGCAGGGCGCCTACATCCTAGTCAGCTGCCTAGGGAGCCCACCCATGCTTTTCCCTCTTAATGATTCTCTCTCACTCTGGTTGGTTTTTGGGACAGGGTGTCAGTATGTAGCTCTGGCTGGCCTGGAAGTTCCTTTGTAAATCAGGTTGGCCTCAAACTTACAGAGATCTGCTTGCCTCTGCCTGTGTAGAGTGTCTGGATAAAAGGTGTGTACCACCATGCCTGGCATGAGTTCCTTTTGTTTGGAAAGGAAATCCTTTCTTCTGTTATTTATGTTTTTGGCTTTAATATTTGGGAGTTAGGTTCTTAAGTTCAGCTGACATTTCAGAACACTGATAGGTTAAGCAAAGGGAAGGAAGACAAGTGGAGCTCTTCTGTTAAGGGAACCATTTTCATGTTTGCAGACCACTCCCTTTCTGGGGCCCCACAGGAATGGATACGCTGTTGCATTGGGATCTGATTCACTAGCATAGTCCTTGGCTTGCTGGCTCCTCTTATGGGGAGAGTCTTTGCTTAGAGCATGTGGAGGACCCTCCCAGCCTGGGTACAGGCGCTTAAGGTATGAGGGAGTGTGTGGTGTCCCTGCAGGAGCCGCTCTCTGCCCTCATGTATCTATGTCCACGTGGCCATTGGTAAATACCAAGTTTGCGCCCCGCCAAGATTGCTTCACGCGGGTCTGAGTTGTTGCCCTTGTTACTACTATGCTAGGCTAAGGACTGTGGGCTGATTCATCCCAGCTGCTGGGGCTCCTTGATGCCACCCCTGCCTTGTCCCATGTCACACGCCTTTCCTGGGGATGTATAATCCATGACTGTTCCCAATAAAGGTCCAAGGGCCTGGCTTCTCCAGCACTACGTTGGGACAGCTCCAGAGCTCCCGCTGGGGGCTGCCAAGACCTTTCTGTACTTGCCTTGCATTTCAGCACCCACCCAGCCAGCACCTGCCCCTCCCCTCCCAGGTGTCCATCTTCCTGCGCGTAGCATTTGTTTCCAGGGTCTCTTTGAACACAGCTCCTGTATTTTTCTGTTAGCACAGGTTTGAGCTTCAATGTCGTCCCGTTTCCTGTGTAGTGGAATGATTGTGCCTGTGTGGTATCAGGCACGATAAATGCAAAGTTGGTTTACTATTTATTTGGAATGTGACTTTGCTATTTATTCTACGTGCTGATTATATGTTGTGATGATGAACTTAGAGCCAAATAAAAGCTTGAATTGTATCTCTTGGTTTGTTGGCTGCTCATCAGTCATGTGTACTTTAAGCCAGCTGCAAAGCACATTTCCCCGGGGTTTACGGTTGTGCCTACTAAAGAAATCAAAGGTTAAAACCTGAGGTGCTAGGGTTTGAGTACAGCGCAGCGGTGGAGTGCTTACCCAGCATGCTTAAGGCCCTGAGTGTGACTCCTAGCACCTCAAAGTAGGAATCTAATGGGTCCACAGAAGGGGACTGAGAAAGGGTGGAATGGAGGTTGTTTTGGGGGCTTCAGACAGACACAGACAAGACATAGACAGAAACTTGTGTGAGCTCTGCCTTGGGCAGGTGATGGGGAGCAGGCATACGCAGGGTAGGGTGGTGATGGTGGGCAGATGAGGGGACAGGCTGGGGTACCACCTTGGAGAACCAGAGGTGGCAGTTCATCTGTGTGCTTGTAGTCATTTCCCAGGGAAGCGAGGGCATGCTGAGGAAGTACGGAGTTGAGGAGTGTGCCGAGCATCTGCTCCCAGGTTTGGTAAGTCTATGACTGTTTTGAACACCTCTCTTTACACTTCTTACATGGGTGGACACAGAGGTTTAGCATCTGTAGGTTACCACTCACGGTGCTGAAGACCCTCTTTTCTGTCTCCTGTGAATGTCACCTTTCCTGGGTTTGATCACGTACATTTTTGTTGTGATGATGGATGTCACAGAGCCACCAGCTAATCTCTCCTGCATTTGCTGTTTTGGGCGTGATTTCCGGAAAAAGCGGCATTACTTTTTCATGATGTGTTGTCCCAAAGGTCTCTGTGGAGAACTGGGGCAGCTTCAGTTTCCTAGAGTTAGGATGGATTTTATGACTTTCTGAACTTCATGCAAACTTGACTCAGGAAACCCCTAATGGGATGGAATGAGGCAATTTGGGGTATACAGGTAAAAGAGAGAGGAAGTTGCTGCTTGCAGTTGTCTGAGGTCTGTTCAGCCCAGCCTGCCCCCCTGCCCCCTGTAGTAACTCCATTCTGTGGACACTGTGCCCTTGTGATAACCGGGGAATGAGAAGTTGGGAGGGTGATAGATGTTACAGAGAGGGCTGTTAAAGCATGCTGACTTGTGAGCAACTGTCCACTGGGAGGGAGGACCAGAAGTTCACAGTGTGCTAAACATTTATCCTGGATCCACAGATGTTAGTCTGTGGGCCCTGGTCTTGGGGACACAGAACTCAGCTTTGCTGCCCCAGTCCCAGCAAACCATGTCGCCTGAGGCTGCTCAGTCTCTCTGGACTTATGCTGCTTATCTGCAAAAGTGACCGGACTGGTGGTTTTAAAGCCCTTTTATTGTTATTCCCCCTCCCAACCCCCACTCTCAAGAACATTTTTTTATGCTAGCTTAAGCCCATGATCCTAGCGCTCTGGAGGCTAAAGCAGGGATGTCTGGACATTAAGGCTAGCCTGGGCTATGCAGGGAGGAGAGGGAAGGAGGTAGAGGGGGAAGGGAAGAACAGCATGCTGTGGGCAGGGTGCAAAGATGTCAAGGTCCATCGTGGCACATGGCAATACTGCATCTTTCAGGGGTGTGTTGCATGGATACAATAGCTCAGTCACCATCAGATGATGGGCATTTGGGTTTTTCAGAATTTTGGCTGTTATGCACAGTGTCACTGCTGGGCATGGTGGCATAGGCCTTAGCACTCTGGGAGGCAGAGGCAGGTGGATTGCTCTGAGTTTTGAGGCCTGCCTAGTCTATAAAGTGAGCCCAGGACAGCCAAGGCTGTCTCAAAAATAAAAACAAAACCAAAACAAAGTGTCAGCATGAGTACTCGCGAGTCTATGGGTGTGTGTTTCTCCTGGGTATACACCTATGAGAGGTAGTTTTGGATCCTGTGGTAATCCTGTTGGACTGTCTGAGGAGCTGTGAGACATTCCCACCAGCAAAACATGAGAGACCCAGTTCACCACACCCTCACCAATGCTTGTCCTCTGATGGGCCATTTGACCTTTGCTCTTCTGCTGAGTGTGAAGTGGGTACTCATTTGCTTCAAGTAAATAAAACCAAGGAATTGATAAGACAAATGTTGGCCAATCGAAAGGGCTCTAATTAGTTTCAATAGTGTATTCTGCTTTCATAGTTTAACCCCTCCTAGGCACACAGTGACTTTTTTTTTTTTCCAAAAACATTTATTGAGTATATCCCTGTGGCAGGTACTCCTGCGTATTGGGATACAAAGCATGTGAGGCGAAGCCCTGTCTTTGGCATTTAGAGTCAATAGGAAAATCCCACAGGATCACAGCTTCCCTCCCATAAGATAGAGCAGAACAGAAGAAGTGCCATCTGAATGTACAAAGAAGATCAGAAGAGGCTCCAATAGAGGTCCCCTGAGTGGTCCTGGCAACATGGCGCCTTACCCACAGAAACAACCCCAGATTCACCAGGGGGGGGGGGAGGTATGGTTTCTGAGTGTATCATATGTTAAAACAATACATGATCCAAGAGATGGCTGGTGTGGGGAATTCACAGTGGCCCTGCGATGGCTCAGGGCTCATGTGGTAGTTGGTGGCTGTTGGCTGGCTGCTCACATCAGGATTTCAGGACCCCCAGAGGGTCGCTGCTCTCCATTTCCTGATCTTCGGAGTCCTGGAAGACAGGGCCGAGACACTAGGGAGGGGGCTGTCCATCCTGCTACTGCACCCTTCTGAGGAACACTGCTCGGCTCTGGGGCCCCAAGCATGCTTCTCCTTGTTGAGCCTTTGCTCATGATGCTGTTTCATAGAGGCAGTGGGGTGGGGCCAAAGCATGCCTCTCCTCCAGAGCACATGCCATGGGAGCCTTTGCTCTCGCTGCGGCCTCATGGGGAGGGGGTGCCAGTTAGGGCTGCTTATGCTGGGGTCACACATGCTTTACTGCTTGAAGTTGCCTGTGAGGTTCTCAACAGGGCTGTTCCCCTGCTCAGCCAGCACCACAGGAAGATTCACCTCACAAGGAAGGTGTGAGGGTTACCCGTGGTGATTAACAGGGTTATAAAAACCCCTTCAGACTGAAAGTACTGAACAGGGTGACTTCGAGCCTTTGAGACACTGAACACCTCACTCCCTGCCAGAGAGCCTTGCTAAGCCTCCTGCTGTCATTAGCTGAGTGGCACCGAGGGTTGACAAGCAGCGTTACTGCATGCTAACAAAGGCTTCTCTTTGGAATGTGCAGAGATGAACAGGTACCCATGCTCCAACAGGAAAGGCAGAGAATGTAGCCTGCTGGTGTGCTGGGCTCAGGAGTCCTATTATGGGAACTTTTTGGCCACTTGCCCTGAGATAGCTGAATCCTGCTTCTAGCATGCTCCTCCTTTGCATCTGGTGGCTCTGCCACACATGAAGCTGAAGATACCCATAAGGCAAAATGCATTGAACAACTTAACACCTCGTACCCCAAAAACTTTTTTATTTTTTTCTGGTGTTTTTGAGACAGGGTTTCTGTGTAGCCCTGGCTGTCCTGAAACTCTCCTTGTAGATCAGGCTGGCCTTGAACTTGCAGAGATCCACCTGCCAAGTGTTGGGATTAAAGGCATTTGGCACCACACCTGGCCTCCAGAAACTTCAAATGGCCCTAGTTTCAACAGAACGATGCTGTCAGACATATACCCATATCCAGTACGGCCCATGTTGAAATGTTGGCACAATATTTTACATGGGTTAAGAAACAAAACAGTGGGGCTGGAGATGGCTCAGCAGTTAAGAGCACTGTCTGCTCTTCCAGAGGTTCTGAGTTCAATTCCCAGCAACCACATGGTGGCTCACAGCCATCTATAATGGGATCTGATGCCCTCTTCTGGCGTGCAGGTGTACATGCAAAACAGTACTCATAAACATAAATAAATCTTTAAAAAAAAAAAAAGAAATGAAATAGTTTGTGTTGTGGTTATTTCTCAATGTATTGCAAAGGTAAATCAATCTGCTGCCATATACACTAATCCCCACAGGGTGCTGACTCAGGGTTCACACCTATTGTAGTAAATAATCTTAAAGTGTTTGTACAAGAAAACTTTGTAGTGTTTCAGTGACAACCTGTAAAAATTCAACTATACAGCCAGGTGTGGTGGCACACTCCTCTAATCCCAGCACGTGGGAGGCAGAGGAGGTGGACCTCTGTGAGCTCTCCACAGCCTGGTCTATCTAGTGAGTTCCAGGCCAGCCAAGGCTACACAGAGAGACCTTGTCTCAAGAAGTAAATAAGTAAATGCCATATGTATTCAATTTAATGGGATTTCCAGAGTCATTTTTTAAAAATTGAACTCTACTATGATTTGTGGGGAAATATTTGTCCTAAACATGAAACTGACAGCAGCTACTTGGCTCTGGTTAGTGTTACATGAGCATTGTTAATGCATATAAGCCAAGATTCAGTGTTCTTGGCCCAAAGAACACTGTCAGCTCGGGAGGTGTGCTGGTCAGACACGGATGCTCCGCACACTGGTTCAAGTGTTTTCATGGTTCTGTAAGGGGGAAAATGCCTTTCCCTAGCTTCCCAGTCCTGAACTGATAAAGAATGGCAGGCAGGTTACCCTTCACATTTAATGTGAATGGGGCGTCTTCCATAGGGCTACCCTGGGTGAAAGTCAGAGTAGCTCCCATCCGAGCTCAAGCCTCACCAACCCAATAAACAAGTGGCTCCTCTTGGAAGATTAGATCAGCAACGTCACCCACTAAAGACCTTCTCAAGCAAAGGCAGCTAGCTCCCTGAGCAAGCAGCAGCTCAGGGAGAATTGATGTGGCAAGAACATCGCCAGGGGAAGCACTTTCTTCTGGCTGGCTTTTGCAAGTGGCATCCCGCCTGGCCATAAGGTAGGGTCTAGGCAGCCTCTGGTGTGAGGCTCTGCCATCTACAGAGAAGACGGGGGCTATAAACAGAAAGCTGGCTTCTGCGTGCTGTCTGAGGTGCATTCTAGGAGGGGGCTGTTCCCGGGGTACAGCCCCACTGATCTGTGCTGGAACCCCCTGACTTGGAGGGACATGGAGACTCACTGTGAAGGGGTCACTGGAGGACTCCGGGAGTGCCGGCGTTGAGCTTGCATACAAAGGGTTTTCGATATTCTCCGGCTGCTGCTTGGCGAAAGCCAAGACGTCGATGTCCTCTTCTGACTGTCCAGAAAGAGAGTCACGGGGCTGAGAGGCAGACTTCCCAGGCCACTCTCTACCTTGGGAGCCTTTCAGCAGCACTGTGTTGAGATGACTGACGGGACAGAAGGCACTGGGGCCAAGTGACAACTTCCATGTCTGCCTAGGTATGTCTCCCAAACTGTCCCCGTGTCTTGCTGCTTTTGCGTGCACCTACTTACACTTTCACTTTCTGCTGTGAGTTGAGGTGGCATGAGGCCCTCATCAGAAGTCAAACGATGCCAGCCCCTCGTCTTAGACATCCCAGTGTCCAGAGCTGGATATGGTGGTGTTGTGGCGATGTGCCCATGTATGCGGAGGCCGAGGCCAGCCTCAGCTCTTACCCACTTTTAAAGAGACTTGCTCTCTCACTGGGCTCGGAACTTAACAGGTCAGCTAGCCTGGCTAGCCAAGGGACATCACATACCCTCTGTCCTCCTGTCTCTCCCCAGTGCTGGCTTTACCAGCTTATGCATCCACCTGGCTTTTATTATGTGGGACCAGGGGTTGAGCTCAGGTCCTCCTGGTGGCAAAACAAGCATTTCAGTGGCTGAGCTTGCTCTCCAGCTCTCCTCCCCCCTTCACTGCATAGCTCAGCTGGCCGTGAAGTTGGGGTGTATCCCAAGCTGGCCTGCTGCATCGGCCTGCTGAGCACTGGGGTTAAGGCATGTGCACGTGCACAGCAACAGACGAAAGGCCACCCTGTCACCACATTCTCAGTTCTCTTTACCTCAAAACGCTTGAAGCCAATTGTTCTCTTGTTTAGCCGGAAGTAGGAATAGGCACCCAGAGCAATTGCACCAGTAACTAGGATGACAGTGCAGAATATGCCTGTCCCCAGGCCAGGGTGGGCAGCAGTCTGCACACAGAAAAAGGGTTGCTTTTAACCTGATGATTCCCCCAGAGAGTATGTCTGAGATCACCCTGTCCTTGCTTGCCAGACACCAGAAAAACTATGTCAAATTAACACAATTCTAGGCCTTATTACTGCCAGGGCCTATTTCTTAAAATGACCTAAAGTGATAGGAAAAACCATTTCCGCCATTTTTACATGATGCTAAGCAATTGTCCAAACCACAGCTTTCCAGAGGTAGAGTGGCTTTCAAGCTAGTCTGGTTTAGAGCTATGCACAGCCATCATGCTCCAGACCTTTGTAGGAGCTGGCAGCTCACCGCTTGTGCTCCTGGGGAAAAGTTAGGCTACTAACAATAACCACAGACAGCCTTTCCGGAGCATGTAGGCTGTGCTGGGAACTGCTTTAAGGATTCAGTGCTTCTTCCCTTAGCGTCCGAGGTCAGGGAGGAACTGTGAACTCCTCTGTACACTCTGTGTAGAGGAGAAATCTGGAGCCCAGAGCCACTCAGGGAAATCAGAGTTGAGGATTGCTCCCTCCTCTGCTTCCCCCGGACTCATCAGCAAAGTAGTGGGGTTGGAAGCTGGTGGACAGTTTGACACCGGGTCTTCCTGGCAATACTCACTGCTGGCATGGGAGGTGCTTTCAAAGGTCCAGATATGATATGAATGAGCCCATTGGAGGCAATGATGTCCCACTGCAGAATGGCTCTTCCATCCACAAACCTCGTCTCCTAGGGATGCGAGAGATCTGAGACACCCTGCCTTCCACATCCCCATCCCCCACATGGGCAGTTTTTCCATTTGGCTCCTCCGAGGCCTCAGCGCCTGGACTTCAGCCTAACCTCCCTGTGTGCTATCAAACAGCTGCTGACTTTGTGCCTCGGAACAAACTGATCTGAGGGCTGAAGAGCTTTGGGCTTATTTATCCAACCCTCAGTGTAACAGATGAGCTATCAGGAAGACAGCCTGTCCAAGGTCACTCGAGCCATACATTGTAAATCCCGAGGCTGGTCACACTACACCTCTAGGGAAGGGCTTTCCATGTTACTCCTGGTGAGTACTAGCTTGATGGCAGAGGTGTAACTGAGGCCCCATGTCCCACCTCTGAGTTACAGTTACATTCTAACAGGCTTTGGGAGGCTCGGATGTGCACAGATGTTCCAGGAGAATCCGTCTGAAGCACTGCCACCTGGGACTCACCGTGTCAAGCGCTCGTCTCCACACGTCACTAGGCTGACTCACGGAACCCTGGCAGCCCATGGATTTGAGTTCACAGTCCCTGTGCTCAGCAACACTGCCACCGTCACTTTGACTGCTACTGCTCACCGCTCACTGTCACCCTCATCCTTGCTTGCCAGATGAGGAGACGGAACTCAGACAAGTTGGGTGGACTAAGTTCTTATGCTAACAAGAGGCAGAACTCAGGTTCATGCCAGGGTCATTAGACCTGGACCTCACAAGTAAGTGCCTGAGACAGAATAACAAACCAACTGAAACAAAGGTAGAGAACAAAGCATCTTCAAAACAGTTTCCTTTCTCCGACTGAGTGGTGGCCATGCCTTTAATTCCAGCACTCAGGAGGTAGAGGCAGATGGATCTTTGAGTTCGAGGCCAGCCTGGTCTACAGAGCCAGTGATACACAAAGAAACCCTGTCTCTCAAAAAAAAATTAGTTTCATTTCTAGGTACTCATAACTCAGCTCCTGATCAGTCTACTCCCAAGTTTCTGGGGTGGCCTATGAGTACATCATAATTTGCATTAATACCCTCCCATCTCTGGATTTAAAGCCAACTTTCATATTAAAGTTGTTGGCATATGTAGAGGAATTTTAATACAGTAACATGGCTGCTCTGGCAAGGGATCATATCTGAAGACCTAGGTCTGTGTGATCTGGCTGGAATGCAGATGTGCCCTTGGTACATACTTTTAATCCCAAACAATTGAGGGCAAGGTGACAAATCAGAGAAGATTTGACAGAATGAGTCAAAGATAGGATACACCCAACTCTCTTGAGAACAGAAAGGAAAGAGAAGCTACTTAAGAGCAGGCACAGAGAGAGAGAGAAAGACAGAGAGAGAACAGGAGAGTTTGTGGAGACAGTACAGTAGAGTTCAGGAGTTCATTACAGTTTGGTGCAGTTGAGTTGAATGCAGTTGAGTTTGTGCAGTTGAATTTGTGGAGCTCAGAGGCAGTTTTTCTAAGCAGAGCAATTCAGTGAGAAATCGAGAGAAGCCAGTTTGAATCAGTTAGCTTGGAGAGGAGTTTTGAGCCAGAACAGCTAAATTGAACCAGCCAGCCAGAGATCAGAAAGAACTAGAAAGGTTGAGCTTATTCAGCAGTAAGTCTTGGAGGATGAAAACATTCTAGGCCTAGGTTAGCAGACAGAGGCTGGAAGCTGAAGCCTTCAAGGTCCGGGCTTGCAGAATTAGGTTGTACGGAGGCTAGAAGCTTCTAGGCCTAGGCCTAGGGATAGTTAGATATAAATGCTCTGGTCTCAGCCCAAGCCATGTATTAGTCAAGTTTGGGTACGGCTCTCATCTCATCTCCTCTTCTGAGGAAATAAAAACATTTACAGGCATCTATGAAGTGTCTACTTATGCCAGGAGCCTTGCATGTATTTTTTTTCTAGCCCTCCCAATAGACCCAGAAGATTTTTTATACTTGGTGGAGCTGGTCCTGGCTGCAGGTAATAAGTAGTTGGCTTCCCAGCCTTGTCCTCAGAGTGGTGCCATTGACGAGGTCATTGTAAAAAGAGACATTGGCATCCGTGAGGTGGTGCTCCATGTCCCGCCCAGACAGGCTCTAAGGGAAACAAAGCAGATGAACAGTCTTAGGACTAAGCAACAGCTAGAAATAACAAGTTTTCTTAGGTGTTTGGTTTCTGGGTTCCTGCCCAAGGCTCATATATGGCACACATGGAAAGTCATCTTTATTCTCTAAAGTGAGTTTCCTGGCGATGTTCAGAGCAGGTCTAGAGTGAGTACCAGGTGGACGGAGGCATCTCTCTTCAGCCCTGTGATTGGGTAGTCCCTGGAGCACACAGCCTGTTGGTCAAGCCTCCGCAGGTGAATTGAACAAGTCCTTTCCTCTTTGGACCACATCATGAGAAAGGTTGGCGTGCTGGACTCATTGTACCAGGGGCCCAGGCTCTTCTCTCCTCCCTGAATCCTTGCCTCGGGCCCTCATTTCCTTCCCTGACTTTGGGCTCAGCCTTGTGAGCTGTTGTCCGGGTCTCATTAGCAAACGAGACCAGAGGACTGCACAGCACCAGCACTCCTTCTCCCTCCTGTGACTGGTTTTGAGAACCCTGCAGGGCACAGCCATCATCGGGCCAGCCATCATCGGGCCAGCCATCATCGGGCACAGCCATCATCGGGCACAGCCATCATCGGGCACAGCCATCATCGGGCACAGCCATCATCGGGCCAGCCTGGGCTCTGCAGAGATCAGCACCTGCTCATCAGACACGTGTGCTGTGTAACAGTCAGACACTGTATGTGGCTGTTTATTGCTTGCTTGTTTGCTCTGACAAGGTCCTGTGCCACTTTCCAAGTGCTGGGGTTACAGACTGCACCATCTTGCCTAGTGAAGTGATTTATACACACTGTGGTGACGGTGACAGATAACACACTCCCGTCTAAAGCGCAGGCACTAGGAACTCCACTCACCTTATTTTCCTGTAGCCCACTGTTCTGTGGTACAAATAGGGTGCTACGGATGGACAGGTCGGTCAGGTGTTTCAGAAATGCCCGGCCTTGCGCTGAGCTGTTGGAAAAAGCCAGCACCTCCTGGGGAGCAGGAGGAAGAGTCAGATGGGCCACCCGTGGAGTGGGAGCTGGGGTGGCTGGAGAAGCTGGCAGGGCATAGCCTCTGAGGGTACCCCATGCTAGGCTAAAGTCTGGCTGATTGTGCTTTCTCTCGCTGGCCCTTGGGAGAATATCAGGATGATACTTCCTTTCCTCAGTGAATCCTACAGTCCTAAGATGATCTGGCCACCGTCCCATTCGTGCTGTGTCCTGATGCAGGTTCCCACCCCTTCCTACAGAGCAGCGGCTGGCTCCACGTGGAGTGCAAACCCAGAGGCAGGGTGGCTCTGCCTCTCATGTATGCACGAAGACATTGCCATGAAGCAGGAGCCACAAAGCATTGGCTGGCAAGCAAGTCATTCACACCAGAGAAAAAGGGCCATCTGTGAACTTATTCTACACCCTCTTGATGTGGAGAGACACCTAACACTGGTCCTCACTGACCTCAGCTGTCTGCTATGGTGCATGCATCTCATGACTGATGGGCTCAGAACTCCAGAGTGTTCAGGACTTGAGCTCAGCAGACTCCCCGTTGCTTGCTGAGGCCCATTCAGTTGCACTTAAGTCAGTCTTGCCCAACCCCGAGCCTCACCTGCTTCCAACCCCCAGGCTGTGCTCTAGCCTCTGTTTTTTTGTTTTTTTTTAAATACCTAGCCACCTTGGGGTGATTGGGCATTGAATCAGTCCTCTGCCTTCCACAAGGCCTCGTTGAGCTTTGTGGCCTCTTTAACTCTTTTGTAGCCATTCTGTCACCTGTGTGGATATATATCACTGTGTGAATGTAATAGATGGCCCAAGAGTTAGTATTAGTAATTGGCTCTGGTTGCCAGTGGCCATATTACCAAGGACATAGAGGATTACATGGCAAATTGTACCAATAAAATGGACATAGCTTGTGAATTTACTGTTAATTAATAAATTCTGATGCTGTGGAAAGACCAAATTCTGTCCCTTTGCTTCTGATATAAAGTGCTCATGATACATGAAGTGGCCACGCTGTTTTTACTTGTTTGTTTGATCAGTTTCTTAAACGGTTTTAGATGTAAACATAAATGTCTGTGTTGCACTGATGAACCAACCCATGTAAAGTATCAACCCATGTAAAGACCACAACCAGCTCAGGAGCTGCTGCTGTCCATACCTCCGTTTACAGAGGAGGAGTGATGGTCCAGGCCTGTGGTCCTAACCCCAGCTGTGAGCCTTTGGCTTCTTTCAGAACCCCCTCCTTTACTAGTTGCTTGCAGTGCAGCCAAGCAGACAAGGTACATACTGTCAGGAAGTTCTTGAGCGAGGGGAAGGACATGAGGACTTGCAGCAGGTTCCCACTGCACGAGGCACCGTCTCCCACGTAGCCTGCCCTGCAGGTGCAGTTCACATCTGGAAAGGAGAGGCGCAGGGGTCATGCACAATGAGGGGAGGCTCGCGCCACCCTGCCCACTCTTGGGGCCAGACTGGTCAGGCGGAGAGCCTGCAGAGGGATGGGGCAATGACCTTTCATCCGGTAACAGAAGACATCCCACATTTCACTCTTGTTAGCCCTGGTGCCGTAGTCCACTATCCCAACAACATTTGCACCACACTTCTGAGAGGCATAGGTTGTGGGGTAGCCGACCCGTCCACTCTCCAGCCAGCCAGCTGAGCAGAGGTGGTACTTGGCCTGCAGAGACAGGGAAATGAGTCTGGGTCACTTATAATGTCTTCTTTGCTGTGCAATCATTGGGTTACTTCTGACCCCTGCCCAGACTGCAAACTCTATGGAGCCTGTTGTAGTCCTGAGCCTGGAATGTAGTAGGTCACTAAATTTTTGTCCATCAAGCCATGGATGAATGACGATGGTACTCTCTTTCTCTAGGTGGTCAAGCCTTTCATACATCTCTTTTGAGAAGGAATTTACCACCAGAGATTTACCCCAGGGCAAATGCTTCTGCTTATGAATTAATAAAACTCTGATGACAAAATTCTACGTTATCACCATCACCTTCACCCCTGTGTGGCTGTAATTTTAAAATCCTTGCCAGATAATTAAGATGAATGAGGCAAGCAAGGGGTGATAATGTTTGCCCCAGGAAGCATAATCATCTTTAAAACCCCCAGTGCCAGGCATGGAAAACCTTGTCTCCAACTGTTGATCAGTGGAGTCTCAGAGACTCCCCAGATAGTACATGCTTTTCTCATTGCTCTTGGTTGTCTCCAAGGACCTGAAGGTAAGCTAAGCCCCCATTGCTGAAGACAATGGTGTACTTTGGACATAGGACTTGGAACTGACTTGGAGACCTCCTTTCTGAGGACTAGCTCTTACAGTGTTGGAAGGTGTTGCATAAACTGCCAAGGCAAAAAAGCAATCAGTAGTGCTACCCAGTTTTAAAGCTTTCCAGCCACGACAACTAGCATGGCAAGGTATTTCCAGGAGCAGCGATGGCACTCACATCCGGGAGGTAACCGACAGCTGCGTCCTCAGGCCTGCTCAATAGGAGGGCCCCGCTGACAGAAGCGGTAAACCTAGCCTGCCCGTGGCTGCTGAGGCCACGGACACGAGAGGAGAACCTACTGCAGCCGCTTTCTCAAACTGCTCTAATTTCTAACTGAGCTCTATGTACTTATTACACTTCAGTGTAGTCTCACCCTTCCTTCCTGTCACATCAGATGGAGACTATTACAGAGACCTATAACTGATCAAGATGCAAACAACAAGTGGATATGGGTTGGTACATCTACAACACAACTTCGATACCTAAGGCTTAGTGGAAGAGGGGACAGAAAGACCCTCAGAGCCAGAGGACCAGGACATCTGCTGAGAGAAAAGAGGCTTCTATATATGACAGTGAATCTTCACCTAGGACCTCACAATACGGTTGCCTAAACAAGACCTGCATGATGATAACAGCAGTTGACATGACAATGTGAACAAGAGACATCACACAAGGCCCCACCCCTCAATCAATAGGCACAAGCAGTTAATGGCTGCTGAGAAAGGGAGAATCAGTCTTCTCCAGGATGAGCTGCCTGATAAGTTCCCCAACCCCATGTGGTCAGTCCCAAACAAATACTCATATGAGCAACACTAAATAGACTCAGTTGCAAGTGTGTGCATGTGTGTGTGTGTGTGTGTGTGTGTGTGTGTGTAACAATCATTAAGGAAGAGGTCATGAATTTGAGAAGGAGTGTAGAGGACACAGGAAGAGTTGGTGGCAGAGAGGAAGGGTGGAAATGGTGCAAATATGGTACTTATGTATGAAATTCTCAAAAAGTTATTTTTAAAAAAGATGATTGAGGCAAAACAAAGTAAGTGGTCAAAGTCATAAAGCCAGCATCTAGAAGTCCCAGATGGACCCAGTGAACCCCAAATCTCTCAGTAATCAAAAGCTGAGCCCTGTCTGCATGCCATACTACATCAATCCTGTACACATACCAGGACATAGGTTTCAGTGGCTTGATGACAATAAGCAAGACGCAGACCCTCCCAGAAGCCAGATCCTTGCACGGAAGGCTCCATTCTGTGGGTAGGTCTAAAGAAAGGTAGTAAGCTCTTGCTGTGATGGAGGCTGGAGGAAGGATCCGAAATTCAGATCACTAGGCTCATACTCCTGCAGCTAGTGAAAACCACCAGCAGACTGCTTCTTAGAGTTGGCTCCACGTGGTGGAGCTTCTGGTTCCAGAGATCATGAGAGCAGCCATTCCTCCCTCTGGGCTGGAAGCCTGCTGTTCCCAGGACTTCCTTTTGCGGATTCCCTAGAGCCCTGGCTGTTTGTGAGTTCAGGGAGACCCTGCCGAGGCTGTGGCTATGAGCTTTCCTGGCATTCCCCTGTGATGTTTGCTCTTCACTCTGCCTCCTGGATGACAGCGGATATTTCACTTAACCTTTCTGAGCCCCAGTTCCCTTATGTGTAAAACTGAAGGAGTAACACCTACCTCCAGGGATGTGGTAAGTATGCCAACACCACAGCCTACGCAGTGCTGGACATGGCAGATGCCTGACTTCAGACATGATGAACTGTGATTGCTCAGGAGTCTCTTGTGCTTGCTTCCAAAAAGCCAGTCACCCGAGTTTCCTCCAGCTTTAGAGGAGGCTGCCTGCACACCCTCCCTGTTGGCTCTGCCTGAAGTGTCTGCTTAACTAGAAACCCACCTTCTGGGCATAGGAGAGCTGGTTGTAGGTGGCTATGGATGCAGCTTCCTTGGCACAGGCCTCTTTGGCTTTGTTGAAGGTCAGTTTGTACTGGCCCAGTGGGGAGCGTAGATGGAACACGCCAACAGTAGTGTCTAGAAGAGGAGAGAGATTATGAAGTCAGCCTGCTTGGCTGGCAGGCAAGCAAAAGACTTAGAAGGACTTCCATGGCAGAGGGCAACTGTGGCCCAGGCTGCTTTGGGAAGCAGTTTCTCCCAACTGTGGCCCAGGCTGCTTTGGGAAGCAGTTTCTCCCAACTGTAGCCCAGGGTACACTGGGAAGCAGTTTCTCCCAACTGTGGCCCAGGCTGCTTTGGGAAGCAGTTTCTCCCAACTGTAGCCCAGGGCACCCTGGGAAGCAGTGTCTCCCACCGTGGCCTGGGGCACCCTGGGCAGCAGTCTCTCCCACCGTGGCCCGGGGCATCCTGGGCAGCAGTCTCTCCCACCGTGGCCCGGGGCACCCTGGGAAGCCACTCCTCCTAGTTATGTAGTAGCACATCATTTGAAATAGTATTCTTTTTAGTTATAAAAATAGGGCTGCAGAGATGGCTTAGCCGGGAAGAGAACTGGATGTTCCTTGAGAGCAGGGCCCACACAGCAGCTGTGATCCATCAGGAGGTGTATCTGATGCCCCCCATCATCAATGTGCAGAACGCCTAACAGGTAGAGTGGATGAACATAGCAGCTGTAGCATAGCTGCTATTGAGTTATGAAAGAAAAAACAAGCAAACTAACAACAGCAACAGCGAATCCTCTAAGCTGACCATGCCAATAAAGCAGCCAGACACCCAGAGACCTGCAGTCAGTTTGGGTGGGACACAATGCACGGAACTTGGGTCACTCTGGAAACCACTGGAGTCCCTCTCTGCTCTGGCTCTGACGGTATGGACTCTGTGATTTTCCTCTACGGGATTTCCACACGCCCTACCTGATGGGCCTCTGTATGGTGGCCCTTTACTCTCCTGTGTGTTTTATGAACTTGTGACCTTATTATACACCATTCAGATCATCCTCAGAAGTGCCTGTGGCACACGCCAGTCACTGTGGGAGGTGCACAGGGTGGCTAAGAAAGTGCTGCGTGAGTGAAAGGCTGTTCTTTCTTGTTGAGCACCTACTCTGCACTTCCCAGATCCAACTCCAGCCAAAGGCTGTGGGTGTTGTTAGCAACACGGGCAAGGAAAACACTGGGAAGGTCCTTCGAGACCCTAGTTCTAGCCTTCAAGGACAATTGTGTTGATCCTCCTGTCTCACTGGGTCTGGATAGTGCCTGGATTCTTTAGTTTCTGTTTTTTTGTTTTTTTTTCTCTTTTCTGTCTTTCTTTTCTCTTATGCATATAGCCCTCACCCAAGCCTGAAAACAAAGGGTCACAGCCACACTGACCCTGGAAGTGAAGGTCCACACAGTCGGCATCTGGGTGGCACTGTCCGTTGTCCTGTAAGCAGCGGTCGAGGGGCAGCTGCTCGGGCTCACAGTCCAGCCCATCCCCCACATAGTGGCTCTTACATTTACAATTGTGCTTGCCCTGTGGAAAGAGGATGGGAAGAGTGACCCCCCCCCCCGCATTCCCATGGTCCCAGGGACCAGAGGACAGCCATCTGAGCACAGGAGCAGCTCATAAAGACCATGTGGTAGATAGGCCCTGTGAGCAGGCAGAATAAAGCTTGTCTTACTCTTGGGCAGGCTCATGGTGAAAGGCTGCCATCCTCAGCATAAATGTTGCTTTTCAGAGAGCCTCTCCCTCCAAAGCAGCTTGCAGGAAGCAACTGTTGACTGCCATTGCAAGACACAGGCCCTGTCTCTGCTCGTGGCCTTTTTTGCTCTGTGCCAGGGCTGTGTATTGACTTTGTGCTAAGTGCCCCCCTTTTCCTCTCTCTACTTGTGCATATGCTCCTGGAATGCAGGGATCCTGACTTTTTCTTTTGTTCATATCCCTGATACCTGCTACAGCCCATAATTGTTGCTTTGTGACCACTGCTCCAATCAGAGAATGTCCTTATTTAATCTTACAAACCCTGTGATGTCTCTGTAATTAGACCTGCGTCACATGAGGAAATTGAGGCCCAGAGACATCAAGTGATCAGTCTTCAGCCTCACAACATACATGGTCAGAGCTAAGTCTCAAAGGCTGCCTGACTCCAGGTCTCTGTTTGTAACTGGTACAGGCATCATTTCCCACCAGAAAAAAATGGGGCACTGACTCCATTCCTAGAAGACTGGAGGAAGTGTCACTTTTATGCCATTTGTTACCAGCTTTTTGGTTTTAATGAGCTCTAGATTTGGAGTCATGACAGACTTAAAGGAAAGCCAGAAAGGCAGCACCCTGTATGGCCTGTCTGCTTCCCTTAATGTTAGTGGGTATCTCATCTAGCTCTAGTGGAAGTTAAGAAGTGATGTTGGTAGAGTCCTATTAGCTAAACAATAGACCGTACCTGGATTTCACTAAACTTGACTCTGCTGAGGATACAAAATTGCATCAACAATGACTTTTACTAGAAACACACCAGGGTGGGAAGATAGTGTAGCAGAGGACAGAGGGGAAGCTGAGCCCAGGGAGCTGAGGACAGCAGGCTGAACTGAGCACAGAGGGCTGCTATTCCAAGTGTCCCCAGGGAACTGGGACTCACTGGGCCAGTCATCCTGCAGGTAGCATGCTCATGACATCCACCATTGACACCATCTGCACAGGGGTCTATCTCTGTGCAGCTGTGACCATCTCCCTTGTAGCCTTTCTTGCAGCTGCAGGAGACTTGTGTGCCATTCTGGGAACATTTGGCGACCTTTGCACAGCCCCCGTTGTTCTGTTTGCAGAAATCCACAACTGCAAGAGAAAGAGTAGAGGGCTTCATAGACCACTGTCAGGGGCTACCAGTCAGCTTTCTACAGTGAATGGCAAGGGGGCAAACAAATTCTCATATGTTCATGTCTTTGGTGTTCCCAGTCTGTGGGCTCTCTGCCAGCTTGTATAGGATTCACAACACCCTTATGACAGACAGCCTGACAGGCTTGGCACATAATGATAGGATAGCTTTGATAATAATCTTCAGAATGAATTGGGTTTTTTGATGTTAGGACTCTCTCTCTCTTGCTCTCAGTGTGTGTGTGTGTGTGTGTGTGTGTGTGTGTGTGTGTGTGTGTGTCCGTGTCCTAGTTACCTTGACACAGCGTAGAATCATTTGAGCCAGTCTCAGTTGAGGGACTGCTCAGATTCAGATCTGATTGAATAGTGGCCATGACCGTGAGAGACTGTCTTGATTGATGATTAATACAGGAAGGTGCACCTTTGCCCACTGTGGGTGGCACCATCCTTAGGCAGGTGGGTCTGGTCTGTATGAGAAAGCTGACTGACCATAAGCCAGTGAGTGAGACAGTTGTGAGAAACTCCTCCATGGTTTTTGCTTCAGTCCCACTTGGGTTCCTGTCCTGATTTCCTTCACTGATGAATTATGGCCTCAAAATATAAGACAAAAATCCCTCTTTCCTTGTCAAGCTGTTTTTGGTCAGAGTGTTTTTAGCACCGTAAAAGCTAACTAGAACAGTGTGTGTGAAGGGGTAAGGTTAGTACAATAAGGGACATCTTGTGAGAGAGACATTTCCAGCTCCGCTCTACAGGGTCAGTCTTGGAGTGCTTGCTTGACCTGACAAAGGTAAAGAAGGTAGAGCGTGAAGGGCTGGGTTTGGTCTTGCTGGGTTTTGTTTGTTCTTTGGGACTTTGTTTTCATAATCTCCAAACTTCAGCCCAATATAGTCTATCTGGAGCTGTAGGAACAGCTGGGAAGTTGCCTTATTTCTTTTGCTTGCTCTAATGCTTGGAGTCACTTGAGGCCCTTGAAACTCTGAGAGCATAAACACGAAGCCAAGAGCCTCCTGGTGGATAGTCAGGTAGAGTGAGGGAGCTGGGCCTCTGCTGCCATTGTTGGGTATGGACCCACTTCTGGAATGCCTTGCAGAAGGGTACAAAAGGGCAAGCATGGCAAGATCTATTGCTTATAAAGTATATTTCTTGGTACAAGGTTTTAATCATAGAAAACTTCAGGAAACAATGAGGCTGAGACTACTCACCACTCCCTTCTTTTTCTGTTGTAAACAGAGTTGCAGATGGAATGTGTCATGGCATGTCTAACAAGATGGTGGCATTTCCCAGCTCTCTTGCAGCTAGGTATGACATATGATGAGTGCCAGCCAATAGGGTGGGAGAAGATCTTATTTTTAGCAATTTTGGAGTGTGTTCTTAAAGGGATGGAGGTTTCCCTCTTCATTTTCCTTTTCTAACTAGTCGCCTAGGTATGCTGGCTCTGAAGACCTCCCTTTGAACTGCTATACAAGACAGAATAAATATTTATTTTGTTCGTGCACCTTCAAACTTGAGACTCTGTGTGCTCAGCACACAGCTCCATCACTGTGGACTGACAACGCTGACGCAGGGCGGAACAGTGGTAGAGGGCCTGCCTAGCATTGGAAACGCTCTGGGTTTACTCCCACTGACAGACAGCCAATGGGGGTTGGAGGATATGTAGTCTTTAGTTTTAACTTTTTCATCTTAATGCTGTATTCAGCTTCTGAATTTTTGAAGCAAGACTGATTGCTTGTTGAGTTAAAAAAAATACTATAGGCCAGGTGGTGGCAGCACACACCTTTAATCCTAGCACTCAGGAAGCAGAGGCAGGTAGCTCTCTGTGAGTTTGAGGCCAGCCTGGTCTACAGGGTGAGTTCCAGGACAGCCACGACTACACACAAAATCCTGTCTTGAAAAACCCAAACCAAACTAAACCGAAACCAAACTATAAAATACAGGGCATCTTGTTTTGTGAAGCAATTGAAAAAATGTAAAACCATGCTTGGAAGGTAGGCAAGGCGGCTGTGAGCCAACTACTGATGAAGTTGAGTCCTAAGGAAGATAGGCGTTGGTGCAGAGACCCACGTAGGAAGTAGACGAGGCAGTGGGGAGCCTAGCCATTGTGATCACACCCGACTCCAAGTACGCAAGGGGGACTCACCTGTGCACGTGAGTCCATCACCCTCATAATTCAAGTGACACATGCATGTGTTGTTCTCCGCACAGGTGGCATGCTCAGAACAAGGAGGCGTGCACACTGGAAACACAGCTGCAAAGAGAGAGGCCTCCCTTCATCCTGCGCCCCACCCGGCAGTCAGCCTCACCTATGCGATCTTCCCAGGAGTCTTATCAGATGTTTTGTAAATGGTAGAAAGATGGGGTACTTACTAAGGACCCTCCTACTTCATTCAGGTATGTCTGCAAAGCGGTTCAGACTATAATGCGTTATCATGCACAGGCTGCCTTAATGGCAACTATTTAAAACCTTCTCTCTCCATACTTGCAAGCAGGGATGAACCTGGCCAATAGACTCTTTTGCTCTAAGGACACGGGATACCAGGCAGAGAAGGTTGAATTGAAGGGGAATGTCACTGTCTTCCAAGGTCACCTATGAGCTGGGGCCAAGTCTTTGATGATCAGATGGGGATGTGGTGAGCACAGGCAGCCTAAAGTTGAGGGGTATTTTAGGTGAGTGGGCAGGGATAGAAGCAAAGCCAAACATACTGTGGGAACCGATGAAGCCCGTGCAAGAGCCTAGTCACACCAATATGACTCTAGGGAGAAACTGATTTAGGCAGAATAATTTGGCCTTAAAATCTTAGAACTTTGGGTCTCTGAAAACAGAAAAGCATGGATCAAGACTATGATGGTGACAATAACCACAGTAATAATGGGAGCAACTGTGCTTCATATAGCAGATAAACTCAGGGAACCTCAGAGCCGTCCCAGCAACCCTTCCCTTGCAGAGTGTGCAATAGGTACACCTTTCTACAGAAGAGCAAGGTGAGCTGCCCAAGGCCATTTGTGCAGTAAGGGGCAGAATCCAGACCACGTCCTGATCTCAGGACTCCAGGGACTGAGTGGTCCTGACCACAGATTTTTGTCATCATGCATTTGGGTCCAAGTTCATCATAATGAATTTTCACTGCATGGGCTTTATAGTTGAGTAAAATCTTTTCACCAAGTTTTCTTCCAACCCACCAACCTCTAGAGGTTCAGGGAACAGTTCAAATCAGGGTTTACAGGTATTTACTGTTTACACCTATGGATGGAAGTGGGAACACCTGCACTATTTACAGGTGAAAGTGGGAACACTCACTCCGTTTACAAGTGCAGGTGGGAACACTCACTCCGTTTACAGGTGCAGGTGGGAACACTCACTCCATTTACAGGTGCAGGTGGGAACACTCACTCTGTTTACAGGTGTAGGTGGGAACACTCTGTTTACAGGTGCAGGTGGGAACACTCACTCTGTTTACAGGTAGAGGTGGGAACACTCACACCATTTACAGGTAGAGGTGGGAACACTTACACCATTTACAGGTGAAAGTGGGAACACTCACTCCGTTTACAGGTGCAGGTGGGAATACTCACTCTGTTTACAGGGAATCCCCTCACTGTCATTTTCTCAGCTATAACTCAGAAACGCTCCCTCACCAGCCCTCCCTCAATAGAGACCCTGTAGTCAAGGCTACCAGTGGCTGGGCATTTCTCCAACAGACCTGTGTGAATGTCACAGAAGCGACCTGTCCACCCTGTTTCACAGAGGCACTGTCCGGAGCCTGTGACCCCCTCGTCACACTGTCCATGCTCTGAGCAGCCACAGGCTGTAACAGAAACCAGAATGTGCAGTGATTAGTGAGCGGCAGTGACATCTGGTCAGCCCCATTGACTGTGTGCCTGCTGCTGGGCACTGTCAATGCGAGGGCCATAGGCTTCTACCACAGTTCTCGTTTATTTTCCTCAATATTCTAAAGATAACTTATGCACAGGCCGCGCACAGGAAGCTCACAGTAGACAGGAGGGCCCTGTTTTCACAGGCCCACAGAGCATGGTACTGAGTGTCATGAAGGCAGAAGTAGAGTGCTGTAGGGCATGTCACAGAGCAGATGGGCTGACAAGTCCACTGTGGGCTCTTGCTTGAGAAATCTACTTAAGAAGATGATTTTAAACCATGCTCCCGTTCTGCCGCTTAGCACTTCGGCATGATAGTGCCGGCCCAGGTCGCCATCTCTAGCCCCAGCCTCCATGGCTGCTTCAGCCTGCCCAATGGCCCCGTGTTAGCACTGCTCTCCTACAGCGTGCACCCCACGGGGCTGTCATGTGATCCACCTTAATCTGTTCCCAGCCCTTCCCTGGCCACCTGGCCTGTCACAACAGATGCTGGCCAGCTTTCTGTGGTCTGGGATTCCCCATGTGTGCTGCCGCTCCTGGTGAGCTTCAGGCTTCCTTTCCTTTCTCTCTTCCCCTTCCTTACCTACTCTTGCTGTTTCAGGCAGGTCAAGCCCACTCGACCTCTGCATTTGCTTTCCGTTATTCAGGAAAGCCACTTCGGTTTGCACAGTACAGTCACAGTGGTGACACAGGCCACTCAAATGTTAACCACAATGAAAATTTCAGTTCCTCCTCACAGATTCTGGGTGCTCAGTGGCCCTGTGCGGTGAGTGAAGACAGAACATCTCCAGCATTGCTGCAAGTTGGGTCTGTCTGCTCTTGATATGGCTGCAAGCTCAGATTCTCTGTGTGGGAGTCTTTTGTTCAGATCTGTTACCTGCTTTCACACCTACACAGCACGTATAACTATTTCTGTCTCTCTACACTTTTTGATGAGGGCTGGCTTGTCCGTAGACCCCCTCTAACTAACCTCTGTATTCCTAAACTGTAGGACAATTCCAAGCTGGCAGGTGCATCACTTAATCTCTTCCTGCCTCAGTTTCTTCATCAACATCAGTTCCTACCTCAAAGGTTGTGTTAAGGATTGAATGGAAAACTGAATGTGCCTGGCACCTGCTGGGCACTTGATAAATGCCAGTAGTCACCATGTGTGTGCAGAATGACTCAGTGAGTGGGTATGGCTCAGGCACAGGTTCCTGGGTGACTTCAGTGACTACAAGTTTCAATTGTAGAAGTGAGGCTCCTTCAAGGAATGAATACTAGTATGACATCCAAGGAGGGAAAAGGCAGACAGAGCAGTGGGTAGGAGAAAGCCAAAGTGGCTACTCCCAGGTCAAGTGGGTAGGATGAATCAGGACAGGCCACACAGCAGCAAACAGGCTACCACAGGTGAGTAGACATACGCAGACAGTCAGGCCCGAATCTCCCCGGTGCGCAGAGCTCGCAGGCTGTCCCATTGAAGCCAGGGTCGCACTGGCACTGGCCTGTGGCTGAGTACAGACTATGGCAGATGCCCCGGTTATTACATGGTGTGTCCGGTCCTCCAGGGCAGGCTGGAAGGAAAACAAAACAACGGTGACCACACCGTCTCCCAGAGGGCAGCCCAGCGTTGCTGTACACACATTGTTAATTCTGGCAGCCTCTCAGTGCCCCTGGCTGCAAGCGCACATACAGGGTGAGCACTGGCATATGGGGCCTGAGTATCATGTGCCTGATCTGACTCCACCTTGGCATGGGCTGAACTGTATGATATAACTGGGTCAGGACCCAGGCTTGAGAAGGCCTGAGCCAAGTAAGGAACCTACTCTGAGCTTTAGTTTTCTGTAGCTCTAGGTGCTGGTCGTGATGACAATAATGACGATGATGCCTTGCCAGCTTCACCACATCATTACTGTGAGGGTCAGATGGCAAATTCTGGGAATATTTTGTTTTGTTTATTTGACAAAGTTTTATGTATCCCAGGCTGGCCTTGAACTTGCTGTGCAGTCAAAGCTTAACTTGAACTTTCGATCCTCCTGCCTCCATGTCCTGAGTGCTGGGGAGACAAGTGTCTGTCTCCACACCTCATATGCTGTGCAGAGACGCAAACCTAGGACCTTGTACATTGAAGGAAAGAGCTCTGCCATGAGCTACAGCGCTAGCTCTCTGAGTGCGTCTTAACAGCCTGCAGGGACAAGCAGATTAAAAGGTTTCTATTAGTCTTCCAGTAGTGTGGCCGGGAGCTGGTGACTAGATTCAGCCGAGAATACTCCTATAGACCAGAGGTTCTCAATCTGTGTGGTTTTGACCCCTTTTGTTGGGGTGGGGGCATGTGAGCCTTTCACAGGATTCACATATCAGATGTCCTGCCAATCAGATATTTACATTAAGATTCATGACAGTAGCAAAATTACAGTTATGAAGTAGCAACATGATGTTTTATTGTGGTTGGGGTCACTGTAATGTGAGGAACTGCAGTGAAGAGTCACAGCATTAGGAAGGTTGAGAACCTCTGCTCTAGACCATGAGTGGAATACCCACGGCGGGGGAAACACCATGGCTTCTATAGTCTGGGACCTGAGCTTCCTTCTTAAGCTTTCTCCTGAGCTTCTATTTCTCATCTATTTAAGGGGCGGGCACCAGGGTTGCTCTCAAGGCTGTGTGCAGGCGTGTGAGCATTCAACAGTATTCCTGCCTGGAGCCAAGTCCAGCAGGTGGGGTGAACTCTGCAAGCCTTTGTTCGGGATTGCTGTGGATGTAATTAGTTACTAGAGTTGTACCAAGGTTACCAAATTGAAATCACACTCACTTTGACAAGGAGCCAAAGGAGAGAGGACAATGTTATGCACCCTATAACTATGGATGTAAAGGAAGTCATGGTCCACCAAATCCTATCAGAACATCACTTTCAGAGATAGAATCACGTCAAAGTTCTTATACAACATTATGGACATTGAATAGAACCAACAATAAATACTGTAGAATGCATTGTAAAGCACCAGGGCAAATGCCCGTGTTCTAATTTGATTAGTATTATTATTTGTACATTAGTATTTCTGCCCAGGGTCTTATACATGCTGCCAGCATGCTCCCCTAAGGCATCTTCCCAAGGCTTCTTCTCGAGTCAGGGTCTACGTTGCCCAGGCTGTCCTTGCATGCCTTCACTCTGCAGATGAGGTAGGCCCCAAACTGGTCCTCCTGCTTTAGCCTCCTAACTAGCTGGGATTCGGCCTGTGCTTCTGGCCCTGCTGTGGTCTGATCTCAACCATGGAGGTGGATGTACAGCAGGGTCTCAGGAAAACACAAACTATGCAGATGGCAGTGAGACCAGCATGCGACTGTTCCGCGAGCTGGGCTGGGGCCTGGGAATCTGAGGGTGGCGTTTCCCTACCTCCTTAGAACTTGGGTACTTTTAGGAGCACTGCGGCCCACACCCCTGTGGAATGGCAAGCCGAAAGGGGCGCCTCACCCTCGCAGTCTGGCAGGAAATAGCCTTTGCAGCACTTTGGGACCTGGATCACCATGGCACACAGCTGCTGGCAGCCTTCCAGGTCCCTCTTGTAAGGCAGTAGGTTGTAGACGCACTTTTGCTTCACACCCTGCAGGGAGAGAGGAGATGTGCAGTTGGGCAGTTGCTACCTTCCTCCACTGGGGTTGGGCTGCTAGGGCTCCAGCACCTGCCTAGTGAAGGGTCTTGGTACAACCCAGGTTGAAAATGGGATTTTTAGTATTAAGAAGAGTAGACTGGCTTCAGGCACCAGATTGGAGCTTTAGTCCTCTGCCCTGGGATGACAGACTGGGGGTCAGGAAGCAGGCCATAGGGCAACTGCCTTCGGTTTCCTCAGATCAGTATCAACATATTCTCTCAGACTTTGTGCCTAGTCTTTAGCTAGATACTGGCAATAACCAGTCTGCATACCATTGCTGCCTTTAAACCTTTTAGTCTCAGGCTGTGTTTTCTGTGGTTCCAGTCCAGTCATCACCAGGGTTGTGGGGTAAATACTTCTGAACAGTCACTCACCTTTTTCTCTACCCTCACTCTTGTGTATGTATGATGGTAATCTCCTGTCTGTCTTCTCCGTTTGTATCTTCCTTGTCTCTCTCCCCCTAACTTTGCCCCTGGGTGTTTTGAGGATCTCAATATCTCTCTATTTCAATCTTTCTTCCCTTTGTACAAAGATTAGGTAAAGTGTAGTCTATAGCTCCTGTAAACCAATTAATTTTTTTTAATTAAAAAAAAAAAGGACTTTCAAGGTAGGCCAAGAGTAAAGAGAGAGGGGCAGAACAGGGGCCCTAAACAGAATTTCTCACTCTTGGAGCTGTTTGCAAATGGAATGATTGCTTGGGGATGGCTGGGGAGAGGCAAATTCCTATCCCACATATCCTCAGCAAGGAAGGGGTGAGATTCACTTTGAATGAGGGAGGTGTGTGTGTGTGTGTGTGTGTGTGTGTGTGTGTGTATGTAGGAAAGAGGTTGATGTGGGTGTCCTTCTCAACTGCTCTCCATCTTATGTTCTGAAACTGGATCTCACTGAACCTACAGCTCACTTGCCGGCTGTACACTGAGTCTCCAGGATCCTCCTGCCTCCGTTCCCAGCGTCAGGATTACAGGTAGCAGTTTATGCTTCTAGATTCTTATGTGGGTGCTGTGGGTCTGAAATCAGGTCGTCAGGCTTGTGCAGCAAGCACTGGATTAACCGAGCCTTTTCCACAACCATGAAGACTTGTTTTTGTGGACACCTAACCACTGTGTGTGCTTGCTGGCCGACTGCAAGCTGTACAGCTGAGTCACAGCCCCAGTTCTTTACTTTAGAATAGGTAAGAATATTTCTTCGTGAGCACTTACTCCATGCCAACCACTTAAGATCCACCTCTACTTGAACCTGTGTGTTTTCCTAATTTTTGCACGGAGAACTGATAGCTTACTTTCTTCTATATGGGCACCACTGGCAGGTCATGGAACTTGCCAAAGACTACTGGGATCTGTCCTCATACCCATGTGCTCCAACACTTAGCTGTTACTCCACATGGCTTCCTAGTCTTTACTCCTAGCTTTGCTTTCTACCAGCTGTGTGGCCTTGGCCTGATTGTCTTCTTTCTCTGAAATTCACTTCCTCTATATATACATTTCCCAGCACACAGTAGCTAACAATGGCTACTATTCTTATAATAATTTTCTACTCTCATCTAGTTATTTGTAATTCCATGAACTTTCAGGATCGTTCCTAAAACATGGGCAGTAAACTGACAGGCAGCCTGGGTTGAAAATACGCACCTCACCATATGATACACACTCACACACCCTCACCCATGTGCATGTGCGTCTCTACCCATGCACACGCATCCCTACCCATGCACACACACCCCTACCCATGTACATAAAGCCCTACCCATGCACACGCATGCTTACCCATGTACACACACCTACCCATGCACACGCACCCCTACCCATGCACACGCTCGCCTACCCATGCACACGC